ATTAAAAAATAAAGTAAGAAATAAAATAGAAAATAATAAGAAAAATATGAAAATAATAAATAAAAATAATAAGATAAAAAAATTATAAAACATTTTTAAAAAAGTAAAAGATGACAAGATAAATAACAATTTAAAAAGTTAAAAAAAGTAATAAAAAAATTAAAAAGTGCTAAAAAAGTAAAAAAAAAGAAAGAAGCTAAAAAAAAAAACTTGCATTCTCTGGGGGGGGGTGTGGGTTGTGTGGGTTTTGTTGTTTGGCGCATTGCCGAACCCGGCCTTGGGGCGACAGGCAGGGTAAATCCAGTCCTGTTCGTGGTGACATCGATAAGAAATTGCCCGATGCATTTTAGAGCCTCTCAGCCTTGGGGTAGTTAGTGTGGTGGTGCTGAGAGGACAACCATAACGGCCTTAGTCATAGCTAGCTACAAAGTGCAACCCTCCATTTGTATATGCTCCGCCTCCCATGTAAATGGACGGAGTTTGTCAATAAAAAAACAGCTTTGAACCATTAAAAACAATGAAAGATTAAAACAGATGCAACATTATCACCAATAACGTCACGCAGAGATGAGCCTATAGGGAATGAATGTATTCAGTGTGTGCTCACTGGGCTCTTTCCTAATGGGTAGGTTCACCTGTACACAAAAGCGTTCAGTCAGCCATTTATTCTCCCGCTGTCGTTCCTAGCAACATCCAGCCTAATGCTTTCACAATTCCAGATGGCATCCAAGGCAGTAGATGAAATGTTATGGGCCCCCAGCATGAACAGAGGGGCCCTGTGAAGGAATTGTGAAGCCAGTCTTCCTTACCTGAGGTCTGGCCGGGTCATGTGACTCCTGAGGTAAATCTCTCTCTGCTGTAGATGAAACTGCTGCAGGCCCTTAGTGATAGCTCTGTGTAAGGGAAGGGGATTCCTCATTGGCTGACAACTTTCCCGCCAAAATGTAAACCACCTATCCAGTGATGAGCTGTGCCTCCATCTGCGCAGCAGAGCCACACCCCCTCTCAGCTTCTCCCCGGCAACTCCAGGCAGACTTCACCCTGAGATAAAAATGAAGAAAGCCAGCAGGCCGGACCAAGTCCCCCTCACTTTATATATTGGTAGCGGCTGCTCTTCTCTGTGTTAGCTGCTGTCCCTTTATATAAAGACTGGCTGTAGAGGCACAGCAAAGATTTGCTACTTGATATCTAGCTGGAAAAGACTGAGAAAACACCCATTGACTGTTGCTATCTGGGTAAGCCCGCCCTCAGAAACCGCAAGAGACTTTGATTGGTTGTTACTCAGACTTAGTTCAGCTGCTGCTGGGAGCTGAGAGGACTTGTGGGAGTTGGAGTCTCTGTGCAATAGAGACACAGCCAGCCAGTGCAGCATAGAACTACAAGGCCCAGACAGCACAGGAGGAAAGGGGAGAGGACTGTGGGGTTTTTTTTTTTCCTAAGTGCACCAGAAGAAGGATTATTCCCTCCCGCTGCCCTGATGAGTGGTGGGGTGTGCTGCTGACACTCTGCTCAATTGAATTAAGGATGCTGCCATTGCAGACCAGGGCTGTCATCACTGTGGAGAGCAGACACATAAAGGACCGGAGAGAAAGAATCAGAGACCTCTGTGGCAGCAACCAGTATCCTGTCCCCACCTGAGAGCCGACTGGAGACCTGCTGGACGCTACCTGAAGAGGGTAATCCCTTTCGCTGGCACAAGAGGGAATCACCAATGGAAACAGAGATCCATCGGTCTGGTGAAAGGCCATCAAGCCAGTCCCTACTCTTCTTCTACTAACCACTTGAAGCCCGGGCAGGTAAACCCCCTTCCTGTCCCGGCCATTGTTCAGTATTCAGCGCTGTGTCTGACATTTATTCCGTCATGCAACGCTGTACTGAAATGAATTTTATACCATTTTTTGGGGACAGATAGAGCTTTCTTTTGATGGTATTTATTCACCACTACGGGTTTTATTTTTTACAAAATTAGGAAACAATTACCAAACAATTTGGAAAAAAAAAACTGTTTCCCCTTCATTAAGTTATGAAACATGTATTATTACCCAATTTTTGGGGTAAAATATAAAAGACGGGGTCACGTCGGATAAATAGAAAATCCATGGTCCCATTGCACTCCTGATCGCAAAATCCCATTTGAAAAAATGGGTGCAACGGTAGTCGACGGGTGGCAACCGTCACAAACATAAGAAAAAGCATAGACACCGGCACTTCAATGTGGTGAGCAAACGTCTATTTATTGGACATCAGTTTTATCAGCCACCACTGGAGGGTTGGTAAGTGCTTTTGGAGCAGCAACACTCCAGTAAACCCTGGACAGGCTGGGAGGAACCATTCTATGCAGCGCCTGCTATGGGGGTGAGCACTACACAAGACTGGATCCTGGGAGGTGGAGGTGATGGCTTGTGGAGGGAGAGTCTGATTGGAAGCAGAATGCCATATTAGCGGCAGCCCCGGCTTGGTGATACTACCAGGGGCAGAACCTACAACCCGAGCTTATTATTGCTCCACACTGAATCATTGCTAACAGCCTGTCCATTATTATTCACAACCATTACTTAGCTGTCATGATTGTCCTTTACACAGGTACTGGCGGGATTATCAGCCACACAAGGATTAAACTCTCCAACAGTTATTTCATTATTGCCTGCAGTACCAACCACCACCAGATG